GTAGTAGTAGTAGTAGTAGTAGTAGTAGTAGTAGTAGTAGTAGTAGTAGTAGTCGTCGTCAGCAACAGCAGAATGAATAGTAACAATAGCAGTTCTTCCATAAAGAATGCACGAGAAACTGTTCCTAGTTTTGAGGGAATTTTTAAAATATTTCTAGCAAGAAGATCAAGTAGCTTTGCATCCCCTCTCCCTCCACACCCTCACCCCACATCCCCACTCCAAACCCTTCAACCTCTTAGGACTGTCTCCAAGCTCCATCCACCCTTCTACCACCTCCTCTTCCTCTACCCCTACCCCCACCCTCTCCCAGCAAAACCCCACCCACTCCCAGTCCACATCATCTCCACCCACACCTCCTCTACACCCATATTCCTCCCCCTCCTCTCTCTCTCCTCTCTCTCTCTCTCTCTCTCTCTCTCTCTCTCTCTCTCTCTCTCTCTCTCTCCCACCCCCTCTCCCACACCCACCCCCACTCCACCCAGTCCCACTCCCACCCTCACTCACCTCACCTCCTACCCCTACCCCCACCCTCCTCCCCACCGACCTCCACCACTCTCCATTCTTATTGCACCCACTTCTAGCTTGTATCTTAACAAAAACAAAAATAAAGCTGTGCAAGACGTCGTGTCTACTACAGCACACCATTTGACACTGTTTGGAACCAAGTTAAGGGCAAGGCTGAGAAGGAAAGTTCATAGGTACTCGACTGCAATAAGATTAACGTGTTCTTCCCTCCATATGCACGTCCACGGTGCTCATGGAGACAGCATAGTTTGTTTTTGTGGTTTTTTTTGTTCTTGGTTTTCTTTTTTCTGGCGGCAATAACAGTGCCAAGTCTAAGAAATTATCATATTTCAAGTCTATTCAGCGAGCAATGAGTGTCGGCCATGACAGTGTCCAGTCTGGTATTTTATTATTCTTCAATCTATGTGTTCTATTCAGATAATGATCGCTCTGGCAGAGAAGAAATTGGAATACCAGCAGACTGTCGTCGACATCAACAAAAACGAGCAGAACCAGCCCTGGTACTTGCGGGTAAACCCGAAGGGACAGATTCCTGCGCTGAGAATCGGAGGCCGAATCATTCCGGAGTCACTGAGGATCATGGAAGCCGTTGACAAACACCCCAAAGGCCAAGGTACGCTATGTCCATGTTAATAAATCAACTTACTCTTGTTTGCATTTTAAGGTCATTAGCTGACAAAAAGGAATTAACGTATACCATCAATGAAACTTATAAAATGGGTGAAAGGAAAGGGGCTTTGTAATAAAATATACATCATGACCCCGAGACATGGAATAGTAAGAGAGATCCAATATTTTTAAAAGTCATATCTGATTTTAATATAACATTGTATTCATGAAATATCATGTATATTCCGATCTAACATCCTGGAAGCCTTGAATGATGTGTGTGTGTGTGTGTGCGCGCGCGCGCGCGCGCGCGCGCGCGTGTGTGTGTGTGTGTGTGTGTGTAAGAAGGGAGAGATATGGGGGGCGGGAGGGGGGAAGAATGGAAGGAAGGAAGAAGGGAGAGAGAGAAAAAATTCCCTACCACCGTGTGTAATGTTTTTCACCTCTGTATAATCAACATCATCTTCATCAACTGCAGGTCCACGTTTGGTGCCCGACGAGAGTACTCCAGTAGGGAAACTGGTAAAGGAGTGGCGGGAAAAAATCCATTCCTTCCCGATTCGAGTTATCACGTTTGGGATCATTCTGAATCCTGAAAATCACACTGACGAATTGAAAGTTCCAAAGTTCCTTATAGGATCCAAAGAAGGTAAGCTATAGGCCACTCATTCAGTGATCTACCATACATAAGTGGCTCAATAAATGGCGCTCCTGCACATCACATTTATTTGTTTGTTTGTCTCCATGAAATTGGTTTGAAAAAAGATCTCTTACACTTTATCAACATTGACGATGAATTATCATTGTTGCAAATGAAAGCTTCTCGGCCCATTCATAAATTAGTTTAAAAAACAATTTTAAGAGTCAGCGAAAATCAAGCGAAGCACTCACCCTAAGAAAGAAACTGAATAAAAGATTTTCTAAAGTTAAAATTAAGGATGAGTTATAGATTTTGAACTTAAGCAAAAGAAGAGAGACTGTATTGGTTCTACTTGTAAGAGCAGTTTCAACATTATACATGTACACTCTAGCCTTGCACGCACTTAGCCAAATCGGCAGGACGTGGAAATAAAATGCTGGTAAAGCGCGAATTTCGTTATAAGCGTGTTTTAAATAAAAAGAATATAGTCTAAAGTAAAAGAAAAAAATTCAGGACCTGAGCATCTGTTTGTTATGTGTGTGTTTCGCTATGAGCGTGTTTTATGTGCCTTCTAGACTACAAATTATCTTTCAATAACCCATCTCTCCCGTGTACAACTTTTATTGACACAATGCAAAGGTCTTGCACCGGCGCCTGAGATGTAGCAGTTATAACAGGCGCTTCACTGTCGCACGCAGAAGACTGCCTTCGATTCCCTGAAGGAGTAAGTTCGAATAGAGTACCTCGGTCTTTCTGTTGGGACTTTGCATCCCGGTAAGCTCAAGTTGGCTCTGACAGGCAGTGTCTGAAACCCGCCGTCTGAAAAATCTAAATCGTATCGATCGGGGTATAAAACGCCTATGTCTTTAGAAAAAGCAACAACTAATGGCTTGCAACATCTCTATTTGATTTATTTCTGTGAACGCAGCGTACGCCAAGAGTGTGGCCGACCTCATCCCGTACTTTGAACAGCTGAAGAAGGACAACCCGGATATCACCGAGGCTGTCAACGTCAAGATGGAAGCCGCCAGAAACAACGACATGGCCCGGTTTGGCTTGGAAAATGTGGAAAAGATTTTGAAAGAAGTGGACAAAACCTTCGATGAAGCGGAAGCTCAACTCCAAAAGAACAAAAAAGGTGAGTTGACCTTTTAAAAAAAGAATTCTATTGATTGAATTTGAATCTATGAAAATTGCCAGTCTGGGGTTTTTGCAGTGCTCGTAACTGCAAAACGTCATGATATGAGCGCCAAGATGAGGATGTCAACTGAGAAGTCCAAATAGTGAATCAGGCTTACTCTGCTCACCTTTCTAGCCTCAAAAGCACAAAGTCTGCTTCGACTATCAAGGCACCCCGGAAATAGTAGTTCACAAGAGATTGACTAACATACAAAAGAGGTAAAGGAAAATTGACGATAGTAAGGATGAGGAAAGAAAAAGCAGCAGTTTCTCCTATGTTGTTTCGGCTCAGTATGAATATCACTTTCACCTTCACCTATCTCGTAGACTGGATGTCCTGCGGGGCGCTTTTGAAGATTTGGTCGCCAGCCTCCTCCGCTCCTTCCGGTCTTCAAGTTTCCAGAGTGTGTCTTTGAGTTCCAGGCCTGTCCATTCCTTGATGTTGTCCTCCCAACTCTTCTCCGGTCTGCCTCTGCTCCTGTTTCCCTGGACGCTGCCTTGCAGGATCACCTTGGCAAGGCCAGATGAACGGGTGATGTGTCCCTACCATTGCAGTTTGCGTTTCCAGACCAGAGTGAAAAGGTCAGCATATGGTCCGATTTCATTTTTGATTCGTTTTTTGACTTCATCATTTGTGATGTGATCTTTGTATGAGATACCAAGGATTTTTCGGAAGCATTTCATCTCCACAGCTTTGATCCTTCTTTCAAGGCCTGCATTCAAGATCCAGGTTTCACAGGCATACAAAAATGCTGAAATGAGCAGGGAACGCATCAGTCTCATCTTAGATCTGATGGTGATATTTCTGTTGTTCCAGATGGTTTTCAACTTGGTCATTGTGGCTGAAGTTTGCGCTATTCTGGAGATTTTTTCTGGTTTTGAACCTTCGTCTGTCACTATTGCACCCAGATATTTGAAGCATCGTACGGCATCCTTGACATATGTGACAAACGAGGAGGCCTGAAGAACAAGAAAAATGAACCAGCAGGTGCAAAATAATACAGAGAGCCGAATCTGCAAGTGAAAAAGAGAACGAGAGGAGCTAGAGAGAAGTGGATTGAAGAACAGTGTGAAGAAATTGAAGACTGACTGAATCAAAACAACAGTAAAAAGACTTACCAAATCATCAAAGATCTTTCAAGTACCAAACAAGGGCGGACAACTTCAATACAAAGTAAAGAAGGGAAATATTTAACGGAGGAACAATAAGATCAGAACCGGTGGACAGAATAAGTATTAGCATGACATTGATAAATCAGCCCATTTATAATTCTACTGTGCATAAGAACGTGTTAATATCACCCCTTTGGGAATGGCCTAAAGACACTTCTGTCAGTAGCACTGCCTTGGGGGGATGAAGTCTATGGAGATTGATCACCTACTTATCACGTCCCAATTTTGATGTAAGACTACACGTATGTTGATCTCGAAGGAATGGATGCTGTATCCCCCTCAGGCTGGGATGGCCATAACAGGCACGGTCGGAAGCCCGCCTCCTAAATGATTTAAATTGTGTCGATGAGGGGGTAAAAACACCTACATGTAAAAAAAAAAAAAAAAAGAATTGCACCAACTTTAAACTAGAAATACTTCTTTATGACATAGGCAAAATATTGAAGAAACTATGATCCATGAAAAATGTGACAAGCATTTATCGTTATCTACTGTGCTGTGATTGTATGAGTGTCTGCTTATGTGTTAGCGTTAATCTAAAGAGTGTGTGTGCATATATATATATATATATATATATATATATATATATATATATATATATATATATATATATATATATATATATATATATATATATATATATATATATATATATATATATATATATGTGTGTGTGTGTGTGTGTGAGTGTGTGTGTGTGTATGTGTGAGTGTGTGTATTGTATATATATATATATATATATATGTGTGTGTGTGTGTGTGTGTGTGTGTGTGTGTGTGTGTGTGTGTGTGTGTGTGTGTGTGTGTGTGTGTTGTTGTTGTTGTTGCTGTTGTTGTTGTTGTTTTTGAAAAATCTCTTTAGCTGCGAGCATTTCGCTCTTGGCAGCGCAATGCCTCCCTCAAGAAACCACATGTCCTTGTCATCTGGTCAACGCCAGAGTAGAGCAGGCTTTGTAATTGTAAGTCTAGTCTAGGTGTGTGTAGGAGCCTGCGTCAAAGAACTGCCAGGTTTGGGCAGTGAAGGAGAAGATGTTCAACGATCTCCTCGCGATTGCCACAGTGTCTGCAATGGGGTTTCCACATGGGGTTAGATTAATTCTGTTTATGTGCTTGTTGGTGTGTAAGTGTCCTGTGCAGGCTCTGAAGATCAATGTCTGATCTGCTCTACATAAGAGACTCAAAGGGTGTTTGGGGTTGGGTTAGTCCATGTACCTGAAGAGAAATCCTCCTGTTTCTGCCTTGGCCCATCTGTTTAGCCACTCGTCTCTGCTTTTGGCTTAGATAATCCCTCTGCAGGTTTTTAAAAAGCGGCTGTGTCTGTCTGGGGCAGGATTACTCCAGTCTTTGATAGCTGATCTGCAGTCTCATTCCCTGGTACTCCAGAATGGCCAGGCACCCACTGCAGTGTGACCCGGACGCCATAGGAAGTGCCCATCTGTTTTACAAGGCTAAGAATGTTCCCGTCACCGCTGTAGTCTCCTCCTCTCTCGACGGCTTGGAGTACTGACATTGAGTCAGAGAAGACAACAACATCCCCTGGTGCTACCGCGCCTTCAAAAAGTCTTGGGTGGTCTGCTCCAGGGTCTTTATTATGGCAACTCTCTCTGCGTCACAGTTGGAGCTGCATGTTCCACATAGGCCAAATAGTTGGGTCTGCTTCTCCTCTCCAAGGTTGTTTCGATATTTCATGATAGGTCCGTATCCAGCATTCCATGTAAGGTTTGTTGCTGACCCATCTGTGTGTGTATGGATTGGAGTTTCAGCATACGAGTCCACTGTCTCCAGGGCACTAGTTCTGCGGATTTCTTCTAGTGCGATTTTGTCTCTATAAGGGTATAGAAGTCTTGTCCTTATTGCGATTTCTGGTGCCTGCCAATATGGCGGCTCGCTGCTGATGTTGGTGATTGGTTCTCTGTTCTCGAGTGGGTCAAACTCCTCAAGTAGTTTTGTTGCTTCTCGCATGAAGTAGGTCATCTGGATGCGTGTTCTTGGTTCCCACTCATCTGCCATTCTCCTGTTTTCGTTCGTGTCTTTTAGCCGCTCAAATCTTTCATAGGTTTCGAGTGTAGCACTCTTTCTTCTGAGGTCCTGTGGTTCTATGTTGGTGTGGATTTCGCAGGCGCTTGTAGGCGGGGTCTTCATCGCGTCAGAAACAAATTTGAGTGCTTGGTTCTGTACTCTGCCAAGCTGTGCCAAAGAGCTTTGGCTCGCTATGGATTGTAGTTGTAGGGAATAGTCAATCACAGATCTGCCATACCCTATACATGTATAAAGTTGTCGGAGGGTTGTTTCGTCAGCTCCCCAGTTGAGTGACGGAATGTGTTTCAAAAGGTTTAATCTGGAGGTGGCTTTCTTGGTCAGCTCGCCTACGTATTCTTTGAGAGATAGCTTTCGATCCAGTTGTACACCAAGGCACCTGGGATAGTCCTCATGTTTGATGGTGGTTCCATTGATCTTCAGGTTTACCTGACTTGCTGTAACCTTGTTTTTGAGGCTGAATAGTCCAAAGACAGTCTTGTCTGTGTTGAAGTGTTGATCTCCATCTTGAATAGCTGGCAGTAGGACGAGATAGTAATAAGGTCCGCGTTGATGACTTGGTTCAGTGCTCTCTTGTTACTTCCTTATGGGGATGCCCCTTGTGCAGTGATGTCGGTTCTTCACACAAGTAAAAAGTAAAAGTAACAAGTATCACTTCCTTTGCTCAAGATGAGCAAGTCGTCAGCGTAAAGTGCTTTCTGGCAGAAGATGACATCTGGCAAGTTGTTCATGAACAACAGGAAGAGGGTACAGCTGAGTGCTGACCCCTGGGGAAGGCCTTCCTCGAGTGTCATCTGTGAAGAAATCTTGTTGTCACAAGATGTTTGGATGGTTCGTTCTGCAAGACAGAAAGTTCCTGATCCAGCTGTACATCATTCCTGCTATCCCTAGCTTTTGCATTTTGTAGAACAGTCCCTGTCTCCACACACGGTCATGCGCCTGCCTCAAGTCGATGAAGACAGCCACAACATTGTCTTTATCTTGAAAGGCATCGCTGGTCTCCTGGGCAAATCTGATGAGGTGGTCCATAGTTCTTTTGCCTTTCCTTGATCCTGCCTGTGATGTGCTTTTTGTGTTTTCCACCCGCCAGTGCAGTCTGTCGTTGACCATTCTCTCGACGACCTTACCAAGATTGATCTATAGCTTGAAGCCAGGCTTGCTGGTTTATCTTTCTTCAGTATCTGTGTGATGTCGGCCTTCTTCCATTCTGTTGAGAGCTGTCCCTCATTCCAGGTCCTGTTGAAGAAGTCCAGGAGTATGGAAAGGGAAGATTCTGTCAGGTTGAGGATCATCTCATTGGTGATGTGGTCTGGTCCTGGGGCCTTTCTCTTTTTACACTTTCTGAGGGCGGCCTTCGATTCCGTCAAAGTAAACTCCTTGTCAAACACCTCCAGGTTTGCCTTGGCGGTCTGTTCTGCCCTTTTGGTCAGCCGCTTTATTGTGTGGCTCAGTTTGTTCTGGGGGGGGTTTTCTAGTTGATGCTAACAAAGTATTTATTCATAACCTCAGCTGTGCATGTTTCTCCTTCCTCAGTTGGTTTCATTTGAGCGGGGTTTTTCCTTCTTTATGTACCTGAGAGATTGGTGAGCAGGTTCCAGGCATTCCTCCCGTCCTTACGCAGGTCTAGTTCTCCACAATGTTCTCTCCATGTTTTTCTTTTCGCGTTTTTGCTCTTCAGCTTTACCTTGGCTGTCAGGTAGTTGAAGTGCTTTCTGTTGCGAGTTCCGCTGGCTCTATGAAGTAGGGTGGGTGGTGTCTTGTCATGCTGAAGTGAAATGAGATTGCTTGATCTCAGTAGTTCTTCTAGAACTGTTCATGTCGTGTCTGTATCAATGTAACCCCACAGTGGAGAGTGTTCATTGTAATCTCCCGAAAGAATGGTTTGTTTGTTGTTTGCTTAGTAAGGGTTTTACGGCGCTCGCAACTGCATAATGGTATGTTTGTGTTCTGTATTCGGGAAGGTGAGCTGGAGAGTAGTTCTCGGTGGGCAGTATACATTGTAGATGGTGTAGGTTGTTTCCATCCCACTGCTGCACTTTCATTTCCTGCATGTCAGTCTCGCCATCGGTTTCTGGGTGAGAAACCTCCGCGGTGAAGTCATTCCAAATGACGATTACGATACCTTGACATTTAGTGCACTTGCAGTGGTACATTGTGTAGCCTGTCAAATGGAGGTCTATCTGCTTGTGTAGTTGGGTTTCCTGAGGCAGGGCTATATGAATTCTTAAGTCTGACAGCATCTTTGCAAGCTCCATTTTCTTGTTCTGTATTGATGTGATGCTTGGTTGGAGTATATTCAATGTCTAGGTGTCTGTAGGTTGCGGAGTCTGCGGTGTCTGTGTGTTGCTTGTAGTTGTAGTCCCTGTACATGCAGTGTGGGTCCCAGTAGCTGACTTGTCACTTCCGTCCCCGGGTTGGTTAAGGCAGAGAACGCAGACTGTGATAACCGAGGCGATATCCGAGCTCGTATAGTTTCATTTGTCGTAGAGGCATTTCACTGGTTTGGGGGGGTTGTAACGGTTTGTATGCACCCCTGTAGGATCTCAGGTAGGTGGTAGTCTTATCCTGACACTGGCTTGTGTCCAACATCTTGCCACAAGAGAACAAAGGTGCAATGTTCACAGTCTTGTTTTCCATCAACCTTCACGGGAGATTTCTTAGATGGTAGACAATTATAGGGGGTGTAGGCTCACTCTAGTTCTGAAGATGGGAACCCCAAAGTGCAACCGATGACCAGTGATTGTCTGAGCAGTCCAGTCAGGGATCCCATTGAGCAAGGGGTAACACGTTCCTTCCACAGCGAGTCATCTACATCACCAAGCGTAGCTTGCGTTTACCCAATCCCCGCCATCTGCTGTCTCCTGGCTATCTGCTGTTAACATTTCCGTTCATGGAGCAGAATAATCCAAGGGATGGCCAAATCTACTCAGACAGAAGATTGTCACGTCATGGACCAGCGAGCTTTTGCAAGGAAACCGTAGGGACGTCATCTGTTTTTACGGCAGCCTATTCCTTACTGCTACAAGTTAAGGCCTTCTGAGTCTGCGGAGACATCTCATGATTGAGTCATCTGGCAGTCTATGTGCACCATGCCCCGTCTGTAGAGCTCCCACGAAAGGGAGGGAAGAAGATGTCGGCACTGAATGAACAGGTCGGTCTGCTGTAACGCCAGACCTACCATAATGGTGGATGTGTACGTACCCTTCTACGAGTCGAAGGGTCGTTGCTCACATCGCACATTGCAGGGCTATGGTATCTCCTGGCTAGAGCTCCGTCTGAAACCCCTGCTCCTATGCACAGAGCAGGGGTCCCCATGCTGTTCGTCGAGGACGAGGAGTTGACTTAGTTGAGGCTGGCTTGCCAGAGAGCGTCTGGGGTTTCACCTTCAACCCTTACAGCCAATTATTGTTTGACCTAAAATTCATTTTTTTTAAAAACAAACTCGTTTTCGAAAACGGAAATGGCTTTTA